GGGAGGAAACCCAACGGGTTAAGAAACGCTCGAGCATCTGAAATTCCTAATTCTTCAGGAGATGAGAGAGATTTCTATGGGGTAAATTACCACTGCCTTAAAAACAGAAAGGTACATGAAGCCTCCAATAAGAGATATGCTTAAAACCAGGGCGAGAAATCAATAAAATTTACTTGCATGTATTTTATTTGCTCTAATAGTAAAAGAAAAATACTCTAGCATTTATTACTTAAACCTCAGCTACACTTATTACTGTCTAAAATATCGTAGCAAAGTTTTCAAAACTATCAGTTCTTGGCACCAGATAGTATTTTTCTCTACAACCTCCCTCAACTTTTAACTCAAGACTGAGGATTCTAAAACACAAAATGAAGTCACAGCTTGGAGGAGGAAAAAGGATTCATAAAAATGCCATGTAAATTAGAGACACACACACAACTGTTATTATTTATTTATCCTATAGGTTCAGAAAAATAACGCTGGATGCCTCTTTAGCACGAAGCACACCATGCTACCTTCAGCATAATGCAGCTACTGTAGAGCAATCGACTTTTCTGAAAACAGAACACTTTCATTCTGTCAAGAAACAAAGATATCTCATAAAATAAATCAAGACTTCATTCTCATTTTCATCTCCTCATTTAAAAAATTATCCAAATTCAAGAATTTTCTCAAATGTTTTCCCCAAATTATACTACCCTACCTGAGAAAGAGGGAAGAAATACATAAATCAACAGGCTTTTAGAGAACCTGCATGTATTTATTTTAACCTACAACAAAATATATAAGGGCAAAGATTTTTCAAGATTGTTAATTCGTTAGCAATAACTTTCACCTAATTATTCTTGAAATTGCTAAGGGTGAGTGTAAACTTTTTATGGAAGCAGTGCACCCTTTGCAGACAACATGCATACAACTACAGAGTCAAGAAAAATTACCCTGCCAACATCTCAAAATAAAAAATATTTTCACAGGGTCAGAGGCTGGCAAAGCGCCCACCAGTGAAGCAGCCACAATACACGCCAGCCTCCGTAAGGGCTGCTGAGGGGCCCAGGGCTCAGCCTGAATGAAAGGCAGCGAGTCGGCTTCATGACAGGGCCGATAAAACCCCCAAGCCAAACTCTGTGGCCGGTTTACGGAAGATTCAGAAGTGGATGCAAAGAGTCCTCTCTAAAGCAGAAAACCTGGGAGACTGTCAGCTTCCACAGGCCCCACAAACTCTGCGCCAGACGTGACTGCACGAACGGGAGGTGAGCGCGCTGATCCCATTTCTGAAAGGAGGGCCGTGCCAGCCCTTGGCCAGACGGGACGCCGACAACACAGCACCAGGGCCTGCGGACTGCACTGAGCTTAAGCCAGCATCCTGACCACTGACAAATATCCTTTTTCCTCCATCCCCAACTTTTTGGGTAAAATTTCTAAGAACTAAGAGACTAGGAAGACAGTAAGTCTGTTTCTTTGTTTGGGGCTGCAGCCAGCGGCAGGTGGAATTTTAGTTCCCTGACCAGGGATCGAACCTGTGCCCCTGCATTGGAAGCATGGGATCTTAACCACTGGACTACCACGGAAGTCCCTAACTTTTTTTCTTAACAGAAAGGAAACTAAAACACAGGAGTGTGAGAAAAAGGAAATAGAAAAAAATACAATTGACCTCTTTGCTGGTCTCTTTCTTATCTCTTTGAAAAAATTAAGTCAGACTGAAGGAAAAAACACTTTTTGCTTGCTGAAAAAGATGGAACATGATACAGCCACAGGACAGAAAAGTCAAATAATCCTGAAGAGAAGTAGAATGTTGGCAGAAAAAGAAGGCAAAACTTGTCTGATTAATACTTTTGTAAAAAAGGAAATGTATTTATATACTCCTAAAATATTTGAAAGATTTTAGACAAGTATTAACAATAGTTTTGGTAATACAATTTTTTACATTATATTTCAAGTTAGGTGCTTTAAAAAAATAATGTTCAGAAGACATTGCTTCCTAAATTGCTCAAAGAAAATATGAACTGCAGCCCACGTTACTATCAGCAAAGTACTGCATTCTGATAAAGCATGTAGGGCACTGTGACAGGAAGGCAGGGTCTTCAAACTCTGTATCATCTGCCTATGCTCATGGAGTGCTTAGATGTGCTGAAGCTCTGTTATACCATTTTAACTGCGCTTCACATTATATACACATATATAGAGACGGCATAAAATGTCATTTTTCAGAGGCTCCAAACTGCAGAACAGCAAGAAGCGTCTGCCCAGGAAAACAGAACGGCGCCTTGCAGCAGTGTGACGGCTGCCCTCTAGTGTGGGCCTGGCAAGAGCATGAAAGAGCATGAAAACGGAACAGACTTGAATCCTGCTTTAAAACGTCACTCAGATTAACTTAGATTGAAAAGCATTTTAAAGTAATATATGAAAGTTATCATCTTTATTTTATCTGCTAAAAAAAAATCTGAAAAGGTCTAGAAAAGGTCGGCTCCAGGGACCACTGACCACCCACTGAAGCCACCAGGAGCAGAGGGCTGAAGGCGTCCCGGCACTCTGCAACAGCTCTCCCGGTTTCCAGAACAAACACCAAAGGGCTTCTGAGGCAACCTTGGTGCCTTGCTCCCCCAGGGACAGGGACACAGTTTAGACGCCTTTGCAGCAGCAAGACGGTTCTTCAAAAACAGTCTTCAAGAAACAGAGGCCCCCAGGAACACGGCAAATCCCCTTCGCCACTCACCCCATGAACATCCACTGAGGGCTGAGACCCCAGGAGCCCCTCCAGAAGGAAGGAGTCTCTAGGTTACACATCCTTTTGACCCTCTACCTCATCACGCCAATAGCCACACAGAACAAGCTTAAAGACAGCTAGAGTAGGAACTTGCCTCACACTGCTGAGCCGAGAATAACTTAAGAGGTAACCTAGCTCATGGAGCAGACATCAAAATCTATATATGGCATGAGTTATTTTATGTTAGGCAGCCTCACCTGGCTTTTCCCAACTTTCCATGTGTTCATCCTTGTTACGCAATCACACATGTAGACTTCTGTTTAGTACATGTCTTATTAAATTTTTTTTTCACTCTTCTGAAAAGGTAACTGAAATAACCATGACTTTATTGAGCTCCCAAAGATGATAAAGAAATAGTGATAGTATACAACGTGAGGCTTTGTGAATGTTACAGATGTCTTCCAAAAAGGATTCCTGGTATGAATAAGGCCTTCTTAAAAATTCTTCCAGAGGCATAAATCAAGTACTTGAATACCTTAAAGTTGATGGTAAATTCCTAAAAAAGATTCTCCCACTTGGTTAATTGTACTTAATAAAATATAAAACATAATTCTTTCATTCTGGAAGCAGAGTAAGAAGACAAAGTATAAAGTACTACATGTAACAATGATGTAATCTTAATCCTTATAATTGTTTTATTCCATGAGATCTTGCAAAGGAGAGTTTTTATTCTTATCATAATATCATGATAAATAAATTATCTAATTTATATTGGAAGGATTTCTTCCTTACTAAAATTGATTAAGGCTCATTTTCAAAAAGGCTGAATGTCATTCGGTACTTACTAAATATTAAGTACACGCTCATTTACTAAAAAAGAAACTTCCATGACTTTGAAAAGAAAACAACATATAATTCTGTATATATTGTATATTATAACTCAGTTTCTGTGGTTATTGATAATAATGCTATTAATTATACATTTAATATACAAATGGAAGAGTCACCTACTTCATAGCTAAGTTTCACATATTATTCAGTTCAGTATTCTGAAACTTTACAGAATGAAATGTATTTTAAAAAGTGATGCAATGTTAGAAATGCAACTTGGGCAACTGTGCTAAGAACTGTAATAATGTTACAGAGAGGGAATACACAGGGTAGAGGCATGGAGACACAACTACGAGAAAAAACTGTGAAATCCAATTTCTAACCTCAAGACCAATAAAGCATCAAGATTCACGTAAGCTTTACATTTTCAACTTCCTGTTCCTAGTTTCGGAAGAGAAGGAAGGAAGGAAACTAGAATCTGTTCCGGTCACTACGCTGGGTATTCTTTTTACATCTCTCAGTCTTTGCAGTAAAAGATGCCGGCTCTAAGTATCCCCTTTCTGAGGATGGGGACACAGGCTGAGAGAAGTCAGGCAGTGGCTCACGAGTCATCAGTTCATCAGTGCTGGGCCAGGCTGTCTGATTCTTCCCACCAGGACAATGTCTGTCAGGGTTTTCCCCTCTTACAAATCAGAGGGTATCTCACCTGTAAGCAGGTAAGGTGTGCCAGGCCACAAAGACGCTGGCTCTTAAATGAGATGGAGGAGAAGCCCTGCAGTGGGGGTTCCACAGGGGCTACTGATGCTACCCGCCCCTCCACTCCCCAGCCTAGAACATGGCCCTCACTTTATACAGACGATGCTTAAGAGGCTGGGGACATGAAGAAAATAAAGGTACAGGTTGAGCCTGCAGAGTGGCCATGCAGTCGGTCCTGACCCTCAGCGCTGGGCCCTTTCTATGCCCCCTGGTGGCTGAGATGGTAAAGAATCCGCCTGCAACGCAGGAGACTTGGGTCTGATCCCTGGTTGGGAAGATCCCCTGGAGAGGGGAAAGGCTACCCAACTCCCGTTTTCTTGCCTGGAGAATTCCATGGACAGAAGAGCCTGGCAGGATACAGTTCATAGGATTGCAAAGAGTCGGACACAACTGAGCAAGTAAATACACACACACACACACACACACTCTCCTGCATGATTAACATCTGTCGCCTGGCCAAAACAGGTTCTGGTTCAGAACCATTTGGGGAAAAAAAAAAAGTACAGATAAAAAGTAGAAATATTATATAAGCATATTATATAATAATCACTACAAAGATAAACAGCATTAGTTGATGCATTAAGGGCCAAATTGTAAAAGAAACTTACCAAATTATCCCTATTCTAAAAAAATCTATCCAAGTGATTATTAAGCACAAGTAGCAAAAATAATTTAAACCTTTACAATAGTTCATCATCTTAAAACTTACCTTAGGCCATAGCAAGGCAGGGTGAAGAGCCTGAACAGGGCCAGGAAGACTCTGACAGGAAGCAGGGTGAACACATAGAGAAACGCATCCAGGCACAGAAAGATTCCAAAAACCATGAGCTGGATTTTAAAAGGAGAGAAGAATGTAAAAGACAAAATGCAAAATAAATATTTTTTAAAATGTTGCAGATGAATATTTCAAACAATCAAGGAATTTCTAAACTTGTTAGGAAATTCATTTCTCATAACTTAGCTATGGGAATAACAAGTTAACGGCTCTCCTTGTGTATATGAGCCATATTCTAATGAAGAATTCCTTTTCAAAATGCAAGCTTGTAGTTCCTCTTCCGGAGCCCTTGGTTTACCACCTACACAAATCAATTATTTCAAAGACAAGTCACCCTCAACCACAACAATGCCACATCTGATGTAGCTCTCTGGGTACTTCCTCAAGCTGCAGAGATGTTATAGAAAACCTTTCAGATAAAACGTAAACTCTAACTTTAATGTAAAGAGGTTATTCATTTTAATACAATTTTAGGTACACTTGAACTTGCTGTGCAAAGAAGTCATTATTCCTAACTGGAGGAGTAGCTGTTAATATCTGTATCGCTTCCCCTTTCTTGTGTACCGGCCACATCCTTCCTATTTCGGGTGACACTGTACACTTTTATCTGTTAAATTTAGGACTATATTTCATGCTCTCATCACTTCATGGCAAATAGAAGGGAAAAAGTGGAAGCAGTGGCAGATTTTATTTTCTTGGGCTGCAAAATCACTGCAGACGGTGACTACAGCCATGAAATTAAGAGAGGCTTGCTCCTTGGAAGGAAAGCTATGACAATCCTAGACAGTGTATTAAAAAGCAGAGACTCTGCTGATAAAGGTCCATCTAGTCGAAGCTGTGGTTTTTCCAGTAGTTATGTATGGATGTGAGAGATGGGCCATAAAGAAGCCTGACTGTTAAAGAACTGATGCTTTTGAATTGTGGTGCTGGAGAAGACTCTTAAGAGTCCCTTGGACAACAAGGAGATCAAACCAGTCAATCCTAAAGAAAATCAACCCTGAATATTCAGTGGAAGGACTGAAGCTGAAGCTCCAATACTTTGGCCACCTGATGCAAAGAGTGGACTCATTGGAAAAGACCCTGACGCTGAGGCAAAAGGAGAAGGGAGTGGCAGAGGATGAGATGTTTAGACAGCATCACTGACTCAACGGACTTGAATCTCAGCAAACTCTGGGAGACTGTGGAGGACAGAGGAGCCTGAAGTGTTTCAGTACACAGGGTTGCAAAGAGTCGGAAACAACACTTCACAGATGGAGGGTAGAATCTTGTAATGCCTTAGCAAATAGCCACACCCAGGCTGTTAACCTGTACTATTTTAAGAGGGATGACTTTCTGTACATTTGACGCGCAAACATGGTATGATGTACACACCCTCACAAACAACACTCCATGTATTCTTAGTCAATAAACTGTCTTACAGCAATGTACTAAGTAGCTAAAACCCACACTGTTACTGGAAGAACTGCATACCCTCCCCGCAATTCATATGCTGAAGCCCTGACCACACCCCTCCCTCCCCACACCTCTGCATGTGACTGTACTTGGGGAGGGGGCTCTTAAAGAGGGAATCAAGTTAAAACGGGGTCAGGAGGATGGCCCTCATCCGGCGTGACTGGTGTGTCCTTAGGAGACGTGAGGATGCAGACGCGCAGAGACAATGACAGGGCACGGCGCGGGCGGGGCACACAAGCGGGGCGAGGCCTCGGGAGACGTCGCCGTGAGGGTGCCCCGCTCCGCTCCAGGGTCTCCTCACCAGACCCACAGCGTCTCTTACAGAAGCGGACTTTCTCTTAGACAACAGTCATCCCTCTTAGGCTTAGAGAAACTTGTTTTAGTATTGCTTCTCATCTATGGCAAGCAACAGTAGCAAATGTCCAAGGGCCTTCCTACTGCATTTTAAATCAGCCCAGGAAGCAAAAATCCCCCCACCCCTGAACGCTCAGCACCTAGGGACCATAGGAGCTATCACAACGACAGATCACAATGTGAAAATGGAAGGAAAGCCAGTGGCTGTGGTCAAAGACACATCAACTGGGGGCCAGGAACGCACCCAGCTATGCCTTTCAGGGTTCAGAAATGTGGGAAAGTGACTCCATTCCTGTACCTACTGCTCAGGTGTTAACGCTTGTTCGCGAAGCACAGCATTCTTTTAAATCCTTTGCAAATGACAATGAGAAAATGTCCTTAAAAGGCAATAGACAAGATGTAATCCTGAGAACAGTCACCCTTGAGGGAGGCAGAGGAATCCCTGGGTGCCCTGCTGCTGCTCCAGGGCATCTGGTTTAATCTGTCGGTGACCCAGGGGTCTGGGCGGCTGTGCCCAGGGGGCCTCCCGTGTCCTCGGGCCTCCAGCACCGAGCGCTACCTGCTTCACCCCCGTCAGCTCCTGAGCTGCTGAGAGTCAGCCCTGCTAGGCACATTTTTGTGCCACGGTTTTGGCGGCTGGACCCACTGCCCACAGCCGTGCCCACAGGGAGCTGGCCTGCACCCTGTGGCTGTCTGCCTCCAGGCCCCACAGGTTTGAAGCCATGTGAGCGCAGCAAAAGATCTCAGGCCCAGTTTTTGCTAGGTATAGAAGGTAGCATGCTTTGGCATCTTGATAGAATGTTGTAGACTGTTGTGGTTGCTTAGTCGCTCAGTCATATCTGACTCTTTGCGACCCTACGGGCAGTAGCCAGCCAGGCTCCTCTGTTCATGGGATTTCCCAGGCAACAATACTGGAGTGGGTTGCCATTTCCTTCTCCAGGGGATCTCCCCAACTCAGGGACTGAACCCGAGTCTTCTTCACTGCAGGCAGATTCTTTACCCTTGAGTCACCAGGGAAGCGCACCTTGATAAAACAGACAAGTATTATTATTTACTTTTCACTGGGATCAAATAACCACAAAGTAGTCACGCAGTCTTAAGCAACGCCTGATGAAATTGTCCCTAAAATGTACAAGCTGTAACTACAAAGCAGAGAGACTGGTGTCATTTGCCACCCTCTGTTTCCCTTCTGAGAAACAAAAATCTCCTTTAAATGTCACTTGAAAGGTCAAAATGAATACAGTGGTGTGGCTAAAATCAAAGCAGCACGATGCTGCTGGAATCTGCCTCTTTAGACCGTGGGTGAACACCTGTCCAATCAGATGGTAGTCACGTCACCATGCACCCTGGGTCCCTGTCTCTCTCTCGCCCCTTCCCCATTTCTCTCCTGCTCCAGCTCCGTGCCACCCCCCATAACTTTACCCATCTTGTAGAAGGTGATAAATTATGTGTAAGTTATAACTATCTCCTGCCTTAGCTGTGTCTCAGCTTTACAGGGTGGTGGACGGGGAAGCCTTATAAATACATCATCTCTCTGAACCAGCAATTATATGAATAACAAAATGCAAAGACACCAAAGCATAATGAACATGCTTCAAGAAGAAATCCTACACTGCAGCTGCCGGCTTATACCTCTTTTCCAGCTGGTGGATTTTCCCAGGGATGGATGACAAAATGCTATACGAGGTTTTGTATGCAAACTTCCCAGGGCTGACTCAGGTTTTGATTTCTTCCTCCGTCTCTCTCTTAACTAAGCACTGATTGCACGCTCTAGAGTCCCCTGCTTTTCTGTCTTGTGGGAGATCTCCTGTGGCATGGTTTCAGAAGCCTTCGCAGGTACTGGGCAATAGGGCTGGGTGCTAGCCTCCGTCCATCCTCCGTCCAGCCTCATCTCCACCTGGACCTCACTGCCACGCCCCCAAATCTGCAGCAAGGTTCGGAGGCTCACCTGGGGCCTGAGCAGCACAGGCAGGGCCAGCCCCCCGCAGGTCTGCAGAAGACATGGCTTTGAGACTGAAGCACTATTTCTACCAACGACACCTGCCACTCAGCCTCAACCTTGCCAATGTAACACTGTTGGTCAACATCACCTGCGAGTGAAAAGTTCCACAACCAGCTCTTACCACACTCATTTTTAACCTACTGCTATTGTTCTTGATCATCTGAAAGATACCAACCTGAAAAGTAATAAATAAAATGCTGGCCCCTCTCCATGGAGAGCAGAGCAAGGTTTTTTCACTTTTTAAAAATGTTTCCTTTTTTGACCAAAACCTCCTGCCTTCCTTTTAATGCCACTTGGAATTTCAAAATAAATAAAATGTTATGGCTACAATTGAAAGCAGCACAGGGATTGGAAGGTGCCTCTCTGAGCTGCAGAAGCCACCTCTGGCAATTCTGTATCCATCTCCCCCACAGCCCCCAAGCAGCTCCTGGAGCCAGAGGCGCTGCTGTGGGGTGGGGGCCAGGAAGCAGGCCCTCCAGCAGGAGGAAGGATTTCTTTCCACCCCGGTCTCAGTGTGTGAGGCTCGGGTCCACTCCTGCGTCTTGCTCAGTCCTATACATGGGATACGAGGTCACTGGGGAGGGACCACTTCCCCAGGGAATTCAAAGCTAGCCAGGAGGACCGCAGAGGGAGGGCTGCTGGGTGCGCTGGGGACAAGATAAGGGCTGTGCGCGAGCTGGGGTGGGGCCGGGGGCCGGGGAGTGGGCACCCAGGGGAGGCAGGAACAGTCAGCAAGGCTCCCCCACGAGGAGAAAGATGGGCGTGAGCTGCTGCCAGGCACGGAAAGGAGGAAGCGCACGTCAAGCCAAGCCAAGAGCGCCTGTGTGCTCTCCGCCAGCTTCACAACTCCATCTCAGGACTGTCTCATTGACACAAAAGCCAAACAGCGCTGTAACTACATCTTCTTAACACACCCTCACACTACGAAGCAACAAAAAGGCTTTAGTGATATTTTCATTCAATTCCTTATTTTGAAAGGAAGTTTTTGACTTTTCCTAAATGTTTATCACCTGTCTCTTTTACAGGGTCATGGACTGCCAGCTGTCCTGAGATGACCAAGTCCGACCTCCTAATCTCAGTCGAAGCCAAAGCAATGCCCTGATCGGCCACTGGGCTCTCCCTGCGGACCTGAGATGAGAAGGTGAGGCTGTTCGTCTCCACCCCAAGACCGCCTGTGTGACACTAACCTGTCCTTTGCAATAGTAACATAGTCTATGCCCGAAACACAATGTTCTATACCCACCG